GTTTCTCCAGGAGAATGCTGTGGGAAATTGTATTGAAGGCTTTACTAAAGTCCAGGGAAACAACATCCACAGCCTTTCCCTCATCCATAAAGCAGGTCATGTTGTCATAGAAGGTTAGTTAAGCAGGATGTGCCTTTCATAAACCCATGCTGACTGGGCCTGATCACCTGGTTGTCCTGTGCATGCCATGTGATGGCACTCAAGATTATCTGTTCCATAACCTTCTCTGGCATCGAGGTCAGACTGACAGGCCTGTAGTTCCCCAGATCCTCCTTCCAGCCCTTCTTGTAGACGGGTGTCACATTTGCTAACCTCCAGTCAACTGAGACCTTCCCAGTTAGCGAGGACCACTGGTAAGTGATTGAAAGGGGCTTGGTGAGCACTTCTGCCAGTTCCATCAGTATACTTGAGTGGATCCCATCCAGCCCCATAGACTTGTGTGTGTCCAAGTGGTGTAGCAGGTCGCTAGCCACTTCCCCTTGGATTATGGGGGTTTCATTCTCCTCTCTGTCCCTGTCTTCCAGCTCAGGGGGCTGGGTACCCAGAAAACAACTGGTTGTACTGTCAAAGACTGAGGCAAAGAAGGCATTAAGTACCTCAGCCTTTTCCTCATCCTCTGTCACTATGTTTCCCCCTGCATCCAATAAAGGATATTATCCTTAACCCTCTTTTTGTTGCTAATGTATTTATAGAAACATTTTTTATTGTCTTTTACAGCAGTAGCCATATTAAGTTCTAGTTGGGCTTTGGCTCTTCAAACTTTCTCCCTGTATAACCTCATGACATCCTTGTAGACCTCCTGAGTGGCCTGCCCCTCCTTGCAAAGGTCATAAACTCTCGGGTTTTTCCCCCGAGTTCCAGCCAAAGCTCCCTGTTCAGCCAGGCCGGTCTTCTTCCCTGCTGGCTTGTCTTTTGGCACATAGGGACGGCCTGCTCCTGCAACTTTAAGATTTCCTTCTTGAATAAAGTCCAGCCTTCCTGGAATCCTTTGCCCTTCAGGACTGCCTCCCAAGGGACTCTCTCAAGCGGTCTCCTAAACAGGCCAAAGTCTGCCCTCTGGAAGTCCAAGGTGTCAGTTCTGCTGACCCTCACTCCTTAACTTCTCCAAGAATCAAAAACTCTATCATTTCGCGATCGCTACACCCAAGATGGCCTCCAACGATCACATCACCCACAAGTCCTCCTCTGTTTGTGAACAACAGGTCCAGCAGGGCACCTTCCCTAGCTGGCTCACTCACCAGCTGCATCAGGGAGTTACCTTCCACACACTCCAGGAACCTCCTGGACTGTTTCCTCTCTCTGCTGTGTTGTATTCCAGCAGACATCTGGTAAGCTGAAGTCCCCCACGAGAACAAGGGCTAGCAATTGTGAGACTTCTCCCAGCTGCTTACAGAATATTTCATCTGCCTTTTAATCCTGGTTGGGTGGTCTATAACAGCCTCCTACAATGACATCTGCCTTGTTGGCCTTCCCCCTGACTCCTACCCATAAACACTCAACCCTATTGTCACCACAGAATCATAGAACGGTTTGGGTTGGAAGGGCCTTTAAAGACCATCTAGTTCCAAGACCACTGTCATGGGCAGGGCCACCCTCCACT